AGGCCTATAATATTATTTAATAGCTTATTTTAAAGAGGAGACTTAGTAGTATATTAATATAATAAAAGTATAGTTTATTAAGCAGAGCTACTATTATAGCAGGATTAGGAGTTGTTGTGGCTATTGCAGCTGTTAGGACTATTAGAGCTATTAGCTTAAAATTAGCTAGACATTGAATACACATTGAATAACTATTGTAGGCCTACAAGTCCTACTGTTGCCCACAGTACAATGCCACGATTTCCCAATTTCGACAACAGAAAAACTTTTCCCGATGCACCTCAAACCTCAATGTCTCAACAACCTAATTTCGAACTGCTTTTAAAAGAGGAGAGGATTAAGCTTACCCTTTAAGTAATTAAAGAGCTGCAAAAATTAAGTGTGCAACACGCAGCTATTATCTATAACATATCCTAAAGGTTAATTAACTGTTAACGCACTAGGACACAGTCAACACGTAATACCTACCCTAAATTAGCAAACCTGCAAAAGATAGAAGAGAGGACGCTTGTGCAGTATATTAGGAAGCTAGATTCCTAAGGATTTGCCCCAACGCTTTATTGTGTTGAAGATATAGCTAATTAACTGCGCGCTGCACGCGGCGCAAAGCCTGTTAGCCTATAATAGGCTTTAAACTTTGTTAAACGCAAACCTAGACTTAAATTGCATATAACTTAATAGAGGGATTGCTAGAGAGTCTTGTGTAGTAATCTAGAGGTTATTAGGCCTTAGTTTAACCTTGTACACAATGTTAAGGCTAAGTATAGCATCCTAGATAAAGATACCTACAACTTTAATAAGACTAGCTTTACTATAGGTATTAGAAACTATGTTAAAGTAGTTACTGTATTAGAGAGACGTACTAAGCCTATTAGGTTGTAACAGGGGGACTATAAGTAGGTGACTTTTATTGCTGCAATTAACACAATAGGCTAGGCAATTGCACCCTACCTTATCTTTAAAGTAAAGAACTACAACGCGTCCTAGTACCCTAATTTAAGGCTACAATAGCGTATTAGGGTTAGCAACAATAGCTAGACTACAAACAATATTAGTGTAGCCTAGTTAAGGCACTTTATTAAGTAGATTAAGGGCTAGAGGGTGGGTAGCCATGTGCTGCTAATAATTGACAGCCACAAAAGCCACAAGTCGCTTGCCTTCTAGAATCTTTGTGAGGAGAACAAGATAATTACCCTATATATGCCCCTACACTTATCGCACATCCTGTAGCTGCTTAATGTGGGCTGTTTTGCCCCCTTAAAGCAGGAGTATAGCAAAGAGATTAGAGTCTTAGCAACAGACTATATTAGCTAAATTAATAAGAAGGCCTTTATTACAATATTTGCAAAGGTTTTTAAGAAGGCGTTCTTAAAGGCAAACATCACATCAAGCTTTAAGGTAACTAGCTTAGTGCCTAATAATCTATTAGTAGTGCTATTAAAGCTTAATGTTAAGCTTTAGACGCTAACACTACCTCTACTAGGGGGGACCTAATAGAACCCTAAGACACCTACTAACGCTAATAAGATAGAGTCTTAATTAACGCTGCTTTGCAATTATATTTAAAAGCACTAAGGATTGTTACTAACTCTAATAGTAGAGATTGTTAATTAGCTGCAGAGAGGCACTGCAATGCTACTGCATAGGCAGACGTTATTAGCAGCCTAAGTGCTGCAGCTTGAAGCGTCAAATAAGGCTGCTTCTAAGCGCAAATTACGCAAAAGAAAGTAGATCTAGAAGGGTAGAGACCTTTTAAAGGAATAGGTAGAGGATTTAATAGCCTAATGTGATGTTAGGGCGCAGGTAGAGGGGGAAACGCGTAAGAGTAGGGCCTAAACAGGTGCAGGCAAGTAGGGCAAAAGGCACTGCAAGTGCTGTGGTGAGACAGGGCACAACTCGCGCACGTGTAAAAAAGATGTAGTAGATGTTAGCAATTAAGAATATATACTGTTGCCTATAGTATAACGTTGTGGTGTTGAGCAATTGCGTGTAGAAGGCCTAATAGCTTGTTGGGGTGGCACGCTCGCTTATCCGGCGCACTCGCTATGCACTCACGGTATTAAACAACATTATAGGCCTATTAATAGAATAGTTATTAAGCGTAGAAGGTTTTAAGCTTAATATTCCTTACTAAGACACTAAGTTAAGATTCTTTGCTAGGGCTCTAGTAGCCTAAATATTAGAAAATATAAGAATATTATTCAAGAATAGTAGGTAAACTAAGAATTCTACGCCTAGGCCTGCCTGTTCTGCAGTGTGTGCTTGTTAGCAGGTGCTTTGTTGTGTGCTGTTGCAGCTGCTACGTCGTGTGCTGTTGCAGCTGCAGCTGATACATTGTGTGCTGGCGCAGCTGCAGCTGCCATGGTGTGCTGTCGCAACTTCAAAACACAAACCTTTAACAAACAAACCTTCAACGCTCTATAACTTGCGTTGTAGTAGGCCTACAATAATAATTTTTTACTTATTTTAAAGCTACAATTTTGCTCTATCTGTGCATAAAATTTTACAATTTTTAAATATTTAATACTAGTGCTAGCAGAACTAAGGGTAGCTATACAACAACATTGCAATATTATTTTAAGTTTATTAAATATAGGCACTTAGTGTTTTAGCTGTTAGTAATGTTGGCGCGAAATTAGGGCTATTAGGCGCAAATTAGGGCTGTTGGGGCCGTTAAACAGCTGTTGCACGACTATGCCACAACTGTAACGACTATGCACGAACACGACACGTGGCATAGCGCTCATAGCAGCTAGAGGCAAAGCTAGCTGGCTAGCACTATTATGGTCTATATATATTATACTACGCAACGAATACTTGCTTAAGTATTCTTGTGCTTACCTTTTGGTATAACGTGGTTTATCACCGAGCCGCCAGGTATCACCGAACCGCCACCCCTCGCCAATTTTGCGACTGTTACAATAATTATTACAATGCTATCACAATATAACGCGCAATCACCCTATAACAAAGGTACACTATACCTTGCTATCTAAGCTATAAAAGCTACTATACCTAATAGTATAAATCACGCGTCTAAGGCCTTTAGTGTTCCCTAATTAATATTAAGAGACTAACACGTAGGAGGGCTTACATAACATAATTATAAGGCTAATTTAAAGAAGCTAACAAAGGTAGAAGAGGAGGTAATAGTTAACTGTATACTTGAGCTAGACAGGCAAGGAATAGGCGCAATAAAGACTATGGTGCAAGATATGGCTAATAATCTGCTTGCTGCATATAGTGAAGGACCTGTTAGCAAGCTCTAGGTAAACAGGTTTAACACACATACCTAACAAATTAAGCTTTAACATAGCTAACTATATAATTATTAACAAGCCCTAAATAAAGATACACGCGTTATAACGCCCTAGTTTAAGCTAGTTAGGAATACAAAGGAGAAGTACAGAATCCTAGATAGAGATACCTACAACTTTAATAAGACTAGGTTTATAATAGGCATAATTAGGTCTAAGATAGTGTTTACAGGCTTAGAGAAGCAATCTAACCCTAAGAATATCTAGCCTAGCAATTAGGAGTAGGTCACAATTATTATTAGTGTCTGCGCTGCTAGCTAGGCTATCCTACCCTTTATTATCTTCTAAGGCAAGGTCCTAATTACAACCTAGTACCCTAATCTGCCTTATAACTAGGTAATTACAACTAGCAAGAATAGCTAGACAATAAACAAGCTTAGTCTAGAGTAGTTAAAGCACTTTAATACGTCTACAAAAGAGTGTACTATTAGCACCTACTGTCTGCTTATTATTAATAGCTATAAGAGCTATAACTCTATAGAGTTTAAGGAATACTGCACAGAATACAAGATTATTACCTTGTGTATACCCCTACACTTGTTGCACCTGTTGTAGCTGCTTAACGTAGCCTGTTATAGCCCCTTAAAGAGGGCGTACTTAATTAAGGTTAATGCCTAGTTATAATACTTAAAGATATAAATTAAGAAAGAGTTCTTCCTTACTAGCTTCTAGACAGCCTATTACAAGGCTATTATAAAAGACAATATCCACAGAGGCTTTAGAGGCGCAGGACTAGTTCCTTTTAACCTAGAGCAAGTGCTATTAAAGCTTAATATAGTCCTTCGCACGCTAACACTACCACCACTAGAGACTACCCTATAGGAATCTAAAACACTAACTAGCGCAAAGGAGGTTAAGTTACAAACATTGTATATCTATAAGCGCATGCAATTGCACAGAGATTCACCCCTGTCTCCTATTATAAAATCACTTAACTTGCTTGCTAGAGGGGTTGCATAGATAGACCATGCCAACGTGTTGCAGAGAAGGGAAATAGATAGTATAAAGAAGGCTATTAAGGCTCTAACAGCGCAGTGTAGTTGCAAAAGAAAGTATATCTAGACAGAGGAGGCTCTCACAGTTAGTAAGGTATAGGATATAATAGCTAAGAAGGACAGTGGTAGTAGTGAGGCATCTGAATAGTCTAGGAAGAAGGTGCGCAAAGAGAGGCACTGCAGACATTGTGGCAAGACTAGCCACAATTTGCGCACCTGCACTGCAGAAATATTAGATGTAGATAATAGCGCTGCTTCTAAAGAGTAATTATAGCAATTATAAGTATTAGTGTAGTGTTGTAGTTAAGCGTAATAGTTATGTAATAGTTAGTGACTCTAAAAAAGTTGGTGAGGGGTGGCGGTTTGGTGATACCTGGCGGCTCGGTGATAAACCACGTTAGGCAGAGAAGTCACGTAGTATTGATTTCGAGGGCAGGGCGCCTACTCTGTTACAACAACTGTCAGCAATAGCCAGTCTGGGCCAGATTTCGAAAAACTTTTCCCGATGTAGCTATTATTAGAGACACTAATAACCTAGTTATTAGGTATACTAGGCTCCTTGTACTAGGCTAAGAGGTGGTGCTTGCTAGAGAGGATAATAAAGGGTGGGATAGACCAGCCCTTTGCGCAGATGCCTTAGATAATGCTAGTCCACTCTAGGCTGGCGGAATGGGTATACTCCAACGTCCTTCGTGGGTACCCCCCAAAACCTTATCAATAATACATGGATTCTGGCGAACTAGGGCTGAAAAGAAAGAGAAAAACCACCTCTACATTTTTGTAGTAGAAGGTTTTGTTATAACTATTAAACTACACAAGCTAGAGGCTAGAAAATGTTAAAAAAGGGGGGGTACCTAGCGAGCATACCTATTAATAGGTATACTTTGCTAGGTAGTGTTAATAACTTAGCTAATACTAAGCAGAATTAGCTAATTCTTTTTTAATTAGAAGGCGCAATACTAGGCGCTTCTATTGAATAATAGATTATGTAAGCGTATCTCTGCTAGTTAAGAAGCTATAAGGCAAAACGTAAAAAAGCATACCCTACCCATCCGCCAGCCTAGTCCACTCTCAGTCACCCTGCTGCACTGTCTTTGGTCTCCCTCAACGCTTAGAGCCTGTGACAACAGCACTAGTAGATATAACGCCTATCATAAAGCTAGATTTATTAAAGTTGTAGGTGTCTTTATCTAGGATACTATACTTAGCTTTAGTTTTCTCTATAAGCTAGAACTAGTTACTAATTACCTTAGGATCCTTACACAGCGCTCTCTTGTAGTTGTACTTGCAATTAAACTTAACTTTAAGCTCTAGCCAACGTTTAACAAAGTTAGCAGCCTAGTTCTTGCTAATAGGGGTCTAGTGGCGCTTAGCAAGCAGAGAATTAGCTATGCCCTCCACATAAGTGAGTTAGGGTAAGAATCCTTACTTATCTAGCCTTAACACGTGCTAGACAATTACCTCCTCTTTAGTGCTAGTTATCTTAATTATATTAGGCTTGCAATCGCGTTGTGGAGAGGTTCTAGCAAGTTAGTGACTAAGTGTCCTTTATGACACGTTGTAGATGGCTGCAGCGCGTTGCTGAGAGAGTGTCGCGTCTTAATAGATAGCCTAAAGAGCAAGCTGTATTCCTGCTTCCTTTGAGGGTTTGATTGTGTTGTTACGTTGAGGCATTGTAGGCAGAGTGAACTTTGGTGTGGTCTTGGCAAAAGTGAGCTACTCGCTTGTGTGAGCCACTCGCTTGTGGAGTACGTTAGTTTTTCTGTATCCTTTCGTACAAGACCTAACGTAGATTATCACCAAGCCAGCCATATCACCAAACTAGCCATTTTCTCTTAGCACAACTAACACAAGTTACTATAGTTAACTACAACTACTGTCAGATTCTCGTACTGTGAGCCAGAGTATGTGCTTAACGAGATCTTAGGTGGTATGATGATTTTTTGATGATCGTGACGATCGTGTCTGTCGTCCGCGTCGTGCTGACCGCTACAGGATTGAAGGGGGGGGGGAATTAGCGCTGTTCGCGGCCGCCTGTGTGCGGGCCAATCAGGAGTTGCCAGGTCTCGCTTAATCGACCTGGCAACTGCTGATTGGCTGCGCGACAGGTCCCTGCTTAATTGCGCAGATCTGACCTCTTGCTGCTTGCTCTTATCTAACACACCCCCTTTAGCTTAACGTACCTCACGGGCGAGTGGAACACCGAGCGAGTGGAACACTTTTGCCAAGCCCCCACCAAACCACCCTTTACATACTAATGCCTTCTCAACACCACTATTTAGACGTGTCAAACGAAGCTCAGATACAGCTTGCGCTTCAAGCTCTTCAACAAGACGCAACTCTATCCCTGTAACGCGCTGCTACTATCTACAGGGTTCCTTAAGCTACACTAAGTAGACAACACACAGGACAACCTTCACGCGCTGATATTACAGCTAACTTACAGAAGCTGGACAACAATAAGGAGAAGGTGATTATTAAATATATTTTTAAGCTAGATACACAAGGATTTTCCCCTTAGCTCTTAGATGTGGCTACTATAGCCAATTCCTTGCGCGCTGAGCGTAATCTAGGCCCTGTTAGTGCAAACTAGCCTAGTATGTTTATTAAGCAACACCTAGAGCTT